GGAGCTGGGCTGGTCTCAGTGGGGGCAGATGGCAGGACAAGGAGCAATGGGCTCAAGTTGCAGCAAGGGAAGTTGAGGTTGGATATTGGGAAAAACTCTCTCCCTCGTCCAAGTCGCATTGCCCAGAGGGACCCTGACAAACCAGCCAGCCTCACACAGACTTCCCTGCTGCCCACACGACACGTCCTGGCACCCCGCCCCTTGCATCCCAGGGGGAAGGAGGAACTATTGCCACTCATTCAACCTACAGCCCAAAGTGCGATCGAACTCTGTCACGCCGTAGCGTCCCGGCCAGGCATCGGTCGTCTCCAAAGCAGTCGTCTGGGGAGCAAGAGTCGTATCTGGGAGAGCCGGGTCCGTTGGGAAGGCCGGAGGCATTGCTGGGTGGGTTGTCACTGCTGCAGGAACCGGGGCTGTTGTCGGTGGAGGACGAGGAGGAGGAGGAAGAGGATGAGGAGGACGACGAGGAGTTGTGACTGCTGGAGAAAAAAGCCAAGAAACCAGGTCAGAATCTCCTCAGCTGAGCTTGAGAGCCACAAACCCAGGACAGACAAAATGGAAACTGCCCATTTCTTTAAGCCACTGTGAGGAGAGGCTGAGAGAAATGGGCTGATTGAGTCTGCAGAAGAGAAGACCGAGGGGGAGTGAATAGCAGCCGTCACCTCCCTGCAAGAGGGGTGCAAAGAGGATGGAGCTGGGCTGTGCTCAATGGACAAGGAGCAATGGGCTCCAGTTGCAGCATGGAAAACTGAGGTTGGATATTAGGAAAAAACTTCTCACAAGGAGGGTGCTGAAGCCAGAGAGGGGGTGCAGTCTCCATCCTTGGAGGTGTTTAAGACCCGGGTAGACAAAGCCCTGGCCAGGATGATGGAGTTGGGGCTGGTCCTGCTTGGAGCAGGGGTTGGACTAGATGAGACCGCTGAGCTCCCTTCAACCCACATTTCTATGATTCTAAGAATAAGGTATCAGCTCACTAGGTCAGAAATGAATCCAAATAAAGCCAGTTGGAAACTGATTCCTCCCCTCTCCCCAAGGAAAAACTCGATTTTTTCTCAAAAAAGGGAAAAACCTCAAACCAGGCTACTTGCTGCCCTAAACTCAAAAGGGGTCTTTAGTTTTAGAATAAAAGAAATCAAAAGATTTTGCAGGAAAGCAGTTGCTTCCCCTGAGCTGTTTTATTAAGTAAAAATCTGCACTATTTGGTTCAAAAAGGAGTTTGAGAGGGGTGGTTTAGTCATCTTCCCCCTGGATGACCCACCGGCATAAAGCAGCGGGGTCCAGTTCTACCAGCAGGCATCACCCTATTCACATCAGTGGATTTGCACCTCTTTATCCTGGGTTTTAGCCAGCACCCATGCCTTACAGTCTGCGGTAGAAAGGGATTTCTCTCTCCTCACTTCACCCTCCCCATTAGGCTTCCTACAGCAGCAATCCCAGACTCGTTGGCCCACCCTGGACCCTTGTCCAACATCTAGTTGCATGAGGTCCAGGCTGGATGTAGGCTCCTTCCCATGGCCCCATGAATTGCAGTTTGGTGCAGTTTAGGAACGACTACCGTGTTGGAGAGTATTCCCACGTGGTCCCATGTAGGTTAGCACAGATCATGTCTTTGGACAATAAGGAAAGCTGCAAAGCATGTGCACTGCATGAGGTGAGGCCACGATGTCTTAGGGTGGTATCTCGCCTCCTGACAAAGAATATCTCATATTCAAAAACTTGTTAAAGTTTATTCCAATGACATAGTTGGCCCAATAAAACATGTCATCCTAAGACGCCCTTGCCTCCCCCATGATTTCTGAACTATCACCACTATAACACAAGCTTCTCCTAGACTTTACCCTTCTTACCACCATGGTCTAAACCACCCAGTCTAAGCCAGGGCTGTTCAATGACTGTTTTTTTGGTTTGCTGACCACACTGATAGATGAAGCATGGGGATCCGCTTCTGGTCAACCTAAAATGAACTGTTTTTTGCGGGGTTTTGTTGTGTTTTCTTATGAAACAAACCATGCTGGTTGAAAACACTGCTGCTGCTACCCAATGTAAGATGTTTCATTTCACTTTGGGGTTTTTAAGCCCGTTAATTCTTTTCAATTGCATTAAAAAGAAATGGCATTTTTTCATCAAATGGAAAGCTTCACAATAAAAAAGTGGGAAGTCTGCCTTCAAAGCATTTCTAAGCAAAGCCTTTCAGCTTTCCCATCCCCTCTCCCTTTATTTTTTTCCAGCCAAAAGGATTTGATGAATTAGATCTCAGCTTGCAAATAATTTCAGTCCATCCCAAACTGTATTTTCCTGGCAAAACTCTTCCCGCCAAGAAAATTCACCCATCCCTCATCTCACCGTCATTGGTAGCAGGATAGACTTCTCCCCATAGACTCAGAGGAGGAAGATGCATTTCTTACCTCTCTCGACCTTCAACTCCAGGTTTCGTTTGATGTCATTGAACCAACCGGGGACCTCTACACGGCAGCAGTATATTCCCCTGTCTCCTTCGTTCACGTTCCTTACGGTCAGAGACACGTCCCCGATGCCCAGGCGATTCGTTAGCTGGTATCTCACAGACTTCGAAGAGATGACCCTCAGCCCATCAGTACGGACAATCTCATTGCTGCACTTCGAATTTGGACACCTGCCCCGGCCCCAGCACATGGCGGTGACGTCACTCGCTCTTGCAACGTGGTAGAAGCAGGGTAGCGTGACGGACTGCCCCGTCACCCCTCGCACGACAGTCTGGGACGCAGCGTGCGCTGGTGGGGAAGAGCAGGGGCAAAGAAAGCCAAGATATCATCTTTATCCCACAGAAACACTTCCTGTCTCTAAGGGTGGCAAAACACAATCACAGGTTAAACACGGAGGCTGTGGGACCTCCTTCATTCATTAAGCCAACGTTGGCAGGGATGGTTTGCATGCACTTGAACTTGCTTTGGTGCAGAGGAAAAGACTAGATGACCTTTTGATTTCCTGACCGGCTGTGCACGCCCGCTGGCATTTGGGAAGCGCCTGTATGCCGTCGAAGGGCCTCGGCTGTTTGAGGAAGTGGTTTTATTGTGGTGACAGAAAGGCTGAGCTCCTGGTGACTTCCTAATGCGTGGGTGGATGCATGCATGTTGGTAGCAAATAAAAGGCAATCCTTTTTTTTCCAACAGAACTGTGCCATAGAGACCAGACTTTGGAAAAGGGGATTTAGGGACTTGTAATCTTTCAACTCAGGGCCCAAACTGCTCAGGTCTGAAAGTTGGTGTCCATTTGGCAAACTTCAAAGTCTCCAACCTCTTCAAAAAAATGCAGAGATGCATCACTCTCAATGGTCGCTGACATGCTGTCAACTGGGCACAGCCTTCAGCGCAAGTGTGAACGGGACTCGGATTTGGACCTTCGCTCTAGGTGCGAGATATCCGACCCGCTCTGCCACCACGCACAGCCTGAAAATGCAGCCACGTGCCCTAGGCCAGCCCAGGCTGGCAGCGGGACCAAGAGGAATGGCCAGTCCTCTTCATCTCCGAGCTGCTACAGCCAGGGACTCTTCCCCTTTAGGGATGCAAGCGTCTCTTCTCCTGGGCAGCACAAAGGGAGCTCTGCAGGGCAAAGGTTTCAGAAGTTGCACCCCCACGTTGCATCCTCTGCCCTTTGGAGAGCGGAAATGTGAGTTTACAGAAAGGAGCCAGGCACCGGCGTGTCTCAGCTGCTGTTTCCTAAAGAGGCTGGTACTAGGCGAACTTGGCCTTTGCGGTTTTGAGCCAGCATTTCCTTTCCGGGTTGCTAACACCCCTGACAGTCCGACTCCAGGGCAGCCTGCAGAGAGATCCTAAACCACCTAGTGCAGGTATTGGAAACGGATGACTTGCCGCAGCACAAATGTCCATGTGAGCCATGTTACCTGCTGCTTGGCAATCTGCAGGGCAGAAATCATCCGAATCCAAGCATCTTATCATTTAGCAAATGGCATCCTGGCAGCTCGCACCACGGTGTTGTAATCTTAGCCTCCTGAAGCGACGGCACTGTGGCGTGCACTCTCTTTTATAAACAGGGACCCGACTCTTGGAGCCAATAGCCCTGTTGAGTGGCAGTGAATCCTAACAGTTGTCCCCAAATTCATGGGGTCACGCATTGTAAATGCTACTTGCTGCATGTATTGGAAACCTGGCAGCTAGAGGTTGTTCAAAGAACAAATGAAGTTAATGATTTCTCAGACAGCATAAAATACCCATGCCTCTCAGCAGCGTTTGAACCGTGAACTTCAGGGCTAAAAACCATTTCCCTCTTTCGGTTCCATCAATTGACAGCTGGAGTAGACTCCTTTGCTGTCATGTAGCCTAGGTGTGGAGGAAGCAGAGACATGCATCCTTGTGTGAGTTATACATGAGGGGGGTGGGAAAAAAACCCACATTTTTTCCTTGGAATTTTGCACTAAACCCCTTTCCTTTTTTATGCTGGAAACTTCTGATTTGTGTGTTGAAAAACTTCCATTTTCTCCTCTCTCTAGAGCTCTCATTTTGCCTAGAGAAAGCCAGATCCAGCAGGAACAACGAGTTCTCGACAGAGTAGTCTTGTAAAAAAAAAAAAAAAAAAAAAAAAGTCTGACAAAGCTTGTTTTGCCACGATGAACATGGCAGTCCCAAGCTGTGAAAATGCTGACCGACGGGAAGACGGGCGAGAGGTTACAAGAGACCATTCGGACCCTGATGCACGCTCTTCATATCACAACGTTATTGAAACAAGCACAAGAGGAGAAACCAGTTTTCATCTGGCTGACAGCGGGGAGGGCACAGGGCTCCCATCACCCTCCAGAGTCAGGTCCCCGAGTAACTGGAAATATTGTGGAAATCCCTGGGCTGTGGAAATGGCCTGAAGCTGCAAAGAAATCATGGGGTCATCTTAGTTTGCCCAGTGAAGCTTGATGGAGCTGGAGGAAGAGCATGAACCAAATCTCACCCCTCGGGGTTTTCCACCCACATTTCAACATTTCCTTTCTGATCTAAAAGGGACTGCAACGTGTTGGAGCATAATTAACTGTTTGGGGTGAGTTTCAAAAAAGACAAAAAAAAAAAAAAAGACAAAAAACCCAACTCAACCTTGGAATAAGTCTGCTCCCATTTTACTCCTATTAGGAGTTTTTCCATTTACATAACTGAAAGCAGAGTTGTGCAACTCTCTCAGTGAAAGTCACTCCTAGCTGAGAGCTTTAGAAAATCCCTCTTCTCTCTCATTTTCCAGAATGATTACTCTGTTTTATATTTAAAGACAATTTCTCTAAACCTGGACCATATCAGCCCTGCTTAAGACATAGAGAAGAGAGGCAGGGAGGCAAAATGAGTTCTCTAGAAATTCAACATTAGCAATAAGGTGAGATCATTTTCATCATTAAAAAAACTCTACTGAACAACCCACAGAATCTACACACAGGTTTTGCAGATACAGGGAAAATACCACATTTCAGTAACTAACACATTGCTCTATATTGGTACTAATTCCTATAATTTTAAGAAACCTTTTGAAATAATATACACACGTGTGTGCACATGTATACACACACACATTCATTTTAGTTTTGCAGAGTTACAAAGAGGCATTCATTGCTTGCACATGGTATGTATACTCCAGGCACAAATAATGCTATGGCATGCATACACGTGTGTGTGTGTGCACACGTGCACGTGTGTGTGCATGTGTGCATGATGCTATTTGTGCCTGGAGTACACACACAACATGCAAGCAACGAATGTCTCTTGTTTGTAACCCTGCAAATCATAAGTGAAGCACCCTTTGCTTGCTGAGGCAATGCGCCGTAAAGCCGCCAGCACTCACCTATCCACATCTGTACCAGTATCCAGTGCAGCCAGAGGGAAGGGGACATGCTGGTGGAGGACAGACTCCGGGAATGTCCCCACCCGGAGAGAACCAGCTTTATACGCTCGATGCTGAACGAACTCCGCAGCAGAGTCATTTCTCTATTCTCAGGCTTGCCCCACCCAGGCTCCTCTTCTCGGGTCTCCTGGAGATGAACCCTGCTCCCTTCCAAGTCACTCAGCAGGCTGAGTGCCGCCAGAATCCCCTTCCTCGCTGGTTGTTTCCCTGCTCTTCAGTGCTCCTCACTCGCTCCCGGTGTCCTTGAGCTTTTCATAGCCACTCAACCCGGTCAGTCCCTTTGCCTTTACCCCTGATGTCTCCTCCATTTCCATCTCCTGTCTTCTTCCATGGTGCGCTCCAGGCACGGTGGCCTCCCAACACCTGTGCACCAAGCCACTTCCTACCCTTAACTCCTCTCTTGTCACCTATATCAGCAGTTGCAGCTTTTCTTGATCAATTGACCATGCTAGTTTTGGGGGCCTCTGCGATGGGGATTCCCTTGCCTCAAGGTTTGCCTGGGAGGACTGGAATCACAAACAATGAGGGTTGAAGGAAGCTCAGGGGTCACATCTAGTGCAACCCCTGCTCCAAGCAGGACCAGCCCCAACTACATCATCCCAGACAAGGCTTTGTCGAGCTGGGCTTAAAAACCTCCAAGGATGGAGAGTCCACCACCTCTCTGGGTAACCTGCTCCAGTGCTTCACCGCCCTCCTGGTGAAAAAGTTTTTCCTAATATCCAACCTCAACTTCCCTTGCTGCAGCTTGAGCCCATTGCTCCTTTTTCTGTCATCTGCCACCATGGAGAACTGTCCAGCTCCCTCCTGGACCAATCATCGTATACGGGAGTTGAGACCAAATGCACACAGAGATGGAAGCAGCAGGCTACGCTGGACTGTTTTGCTTCTCATAGTCAGATCCTGCTGCTTAACCCAGAGTAAGGGAGAGATACCCTAGGATCTGTTCCCTTTTTGGGTCCTAAACAGCCTCCTTGAGCTTGTGCGTGGGAGGATCACCTGTCATAGCACCCACCCCTCTTGGGGCTGGTCATAGCAGAGCTCCCAGCTTCCCCAAGGACCTCTGAAAGCTTCTCAGGGCTTGGCGGGACAACGCTGCAACTGGAGTTCCTGTCTCAGGCCTGCCTTCCCTTTTGGGTTTTCCTAGAGAGATGGCCTCACAGGTCCCCTTCTCCATATGCCCAGGCAAGACACCAATGGAAACATAAAGGCAAGTCCTGATGGAAACACCCCGTCCATCTCTGCTGGCTGTGGGTCTCCATTCTTGCCCTCACCCGGAGCTGTGACCCTGAGGACTCGTGTCCTCCAGAGCCCACCACAACCGCGCTTCACCCTCTCCCCAGCCCTGCGTGAGCTCTCCCAGCCTTTCAGGAGAAAGGCCCAACTTCTTTCCAGTGGACTCTCATCACTGACCCAACCCATCTGATCTGGACCATCTGGGGACTACCAATGCATCTCTCTGCAAAAGGGGCAGCCAGCCTGTGACTCAGGGAGTCTCTCACATAAGTACAGGAATTAAAATCAGCAATTTACCAGGATAATTACTGATCATTGTTATGATCAGTAACGGCTTTTAAGGTCATAAGGATCCTTTCCTGGTGCCACTTCATTCAAATCAATGATCATGAAACCAAGTCGGTTATTCACTTTAATTTACCTCCTCCAAGAATACCACCTAGGTTAGATTTCCCACATCAACATTTGAACCAAGTCTTATAACGAAGGCTGTGTTGATTGGTATCAGGAGAAATCTGGCTCTCATTGACCTTGCACTTTTAGGAACTCCGAAGTGTCTTGACTATCATGTTTTAGGAGTGATTTTAAAATGTAGCCGAGCAAAACTATTCTTCCCACCTAAACCGCCCGAGTTTGCATGGGTTAGGTTGTGTTTTGTTGCACGCCACTGCAAGGCACTGTGGGACAATGACTTGAAAAGATTAATATGCCTGGACATAGTAAAAGGGTAAGGGTCATGCATCTAATCTCAGTTCTGTTAACTGTGACACCACAGGAGAAAGTCCACAAGCCAAGTTCTGGTCCCTGTTTACTTTGCTGTAAATCCCAATTACAGCAGACTCACGTCACTGGAGTTTATTTTGGATTTGTGCTGGTGTGGGAGAAGAGCAGGACCCGTTTAACATATTTTGCAGGATCAAAGGCATACCCATCCAACACACATTACTCTCACAGAGAACAGTAGCAAGGGGAATTTATTAGTAGCTCTCCAGCATAGCTCAAGGTTTTTAGTTTGCTAGAAATCTGGAAAGGAGAGATCCCCCTACTGTGTGCAACCCCCATTGCTCTTTGGAAGGTGCTGAAGAAAAACCTGGCATGTTTTGTGCTTGGTTACACCGAACCTGGAGATCCAAAAGTAACAATGGTGCATATTCAAAGCCCAATCCTGCTTGGCTCTGAGTGCCTCCTGGAAGACGGAGAGCAGGAGCACTCTCCATGCTACTGGCCTAACTGGAAGGATTTCATCAGTTCCTTAGAGGCAGTCAGCACTTGCACCACTGAGCCCTCATTGGTAACCACTGGGCATATCTACACGTTCATTAATGTACCGTAATTACTGTTCATTAAGTTTAGTACTTGTATAACCAAGTACTAAATCAATGTGCAATAAGTGATACTACTGTGCAGTAACGCCAGCACATGGCTTTTTAGTGGTGCTAGCTGCACAATAGCTTAATACTACTGCACAGTGGCATATTAGCATGGTTTTTGCCATGACATGCTACTGCACAGTAGTGTCTTGTGTAGATGTGCCCACTGAGGGTATATCTTGAATGATCGAAAATGCAGTGAAACTCCTGTTTATTGCAATGTTCACTTCAACAGACCCCTCTTCATATCACTCCCATCGCTGCTGCCACAAGCTGGTCATCTCTGCAGATGGCATGGCAGGGTTTCTAGCTGCCATCCCAACTCCAGCAGTCTACATCACAGTAGTGACAAAGCATGTCAAAAGATACAGAGAAATATGGAAGCACATTGCAACTTCCCCTTTCGCAGGTGTGCGGCTGCTTGGCAATGGTCCGACGCAAGAAGTGGTCATTTGCATTGGATGAAAAGCTGGATCTATTTGGCCCATGATTAGAGGAATGGATTCAGAGACCGATGATTTGTTGCACTATGTGAGACGGACACTGCAACTGGAAGAGACTCATCAAGTTTTAGTCTGTACCACACTGGTTCTTCTTGCTTTCCTGGAGTGAGCAGAGTAGCACCTGAACAAACCTCTGCATCTTGCTACTTCTGTGTCTGCTCAGGGTAAGAAATGATCCTTCAAAGTGGCCAGTGGTACAAATAGTTTAGGGAGCAGCATAAATGATTCTAACTTTGTAGTAACTGGCAAATGCCAGAGTATAAGGGCAAGCATGCGATTAGTCCTTAGTGTATCGTGTAAACATTTTCCTCTGCATGGAAATCGCTTTCTAGCGCACTTTGGATTCCCTCGTGTCCTGTCCTGGAGAAGGAGACTGAGCTGTAGAGGACACAAGAAAGCAGCACCTTTGAACACAACTAGCTTAAAACAGACAGACGGAAGACCAGCTATCCAAATTAACCAATCCTGGGAAAACACAAACTGGAGCATTGCTTATTATTAAATGTTAGGAATAAGCCATTGTTTTACGTTTATCAGACATACTGGACTTGAAAAACTTATGCTCCCTATTGCAAATTATGCTCCCTATTGCAAATTAATGAAGAGTTTTAGAAACCATGACAGTTAGGCTCGTTTTTGCTTACAAAGCTGTGACAAGTAGCAATAACAGCTTTTCTTTTTGCACTGCTGTTTCGGATTGCTAGCTTTCCCATTAGGAAACGGTCAAGTAAATTATAGTATGCAGGGTCTGAGCAGTCAGCCTGGATCCAGGAGTCTGTTCTGAATGCTTCTTTCTTAGCAAAAATACAGAAACTTGGGGATCTGGCTACTTATTAAAGCTCCAGAGTGACAGTACTTACCTTACAAGGTTCCTCAGCTTCTGCCTCTTGGGCAAATGTCCTGTGTATACATCCAACATGGAAAAAGAACAAAAAGAAACCCTCAGGGTTCTTAAAATCATGAGGAAAACAAGGCAGCAACTTCAATTAGGGAGAAAAAAGGAGGTCATGTGCAAGGCATTCAGTAAGGGAGCTGTGAGGCAGCTCCACTGAGTACGTGAAACAGCCATATTAAAGGAAGCCAATTCACTCCAGGGCTAGCCCATTGGGAAGCTGAGTGTCTCCAGGTTAGAAAGCGTGCCCGGGGGTGGTAATGTCTGGAGGCACACTCAGCCACAGCATGGCTGGGCAAGGGGTGCAACTAGGGCATCATGGAGTTAGGTTGGGTATGTGCGTCTTCCCCCGGCTGCTGTTGACCAAGTCCCCAGGGAGTCAGAGAAATAAAACCATCCTGTCCTTGAACTGGTGATGGACTTACTTTTCAAGCGAAAGAAAACAACAGCTAGGATGACTAAAAAACCCAGAAAGATGCTGATTCCAATATATATGCCATCCTTGCTGGGATCTGCCCCCGTTGTCTGATGAACGACAGAAGACGCATTCTATCAAACATAAAAACAGGGATATCAATGGCTGTAATAAAGAAAAACAACAGAGCTCAAAAATCATCCTTGTGTCTTGCAACCATATGATAGCAATACCCTTCCAATGGCGCGCTCACATTGAAATGATGCATTATTTCCATGGGGACATTGTGTGACGGTTACATAACCATGATCCATGCTGTTCAACAGATGGGTATTGTTGGGGTTTTAAAGATGTGAAACGAGACTTGAGGTTTGGTCTTATTTACATTTCCAGCTAACCTCAGCATTCGTGCCTAAATTCTCAAGCACAGGCAATGCAACTGAGCTTGATAGTTTAAGCAACTGTGGAAATAGAAATGTGAACCTAGGATGGGTTGACGATAACTTGCTGTACTGGATTGTTATATTAAAAGGTATTTAGGCAGCTTCCAAAAATGTTGTGGAATAACAAGTATGCTCGATTATTCTCAAAATGTATTTCAAACAACTGAGGTACCTAGTTTGCTTAAGTCCATTTGGAAATCTAACAGGATGATTATGGGCATCTTTATGCACTTTTACATACCTTTGAAAATACAGCCCAAGTTTTATTTTCTCAATCTAGAGGCGGGGAACAGAAGGAAGGGGCAGCTTTCCTTTGGTGCCTCTCTTCACAGGGCCAACAACTGGCATAACTCTTTTCTAAGGCAATCAAGATGTCTTATTGTAAGCAATAACAATTCACTTGCTCCCAAAGATGCTGAACATCTTTAGTTTATATCTAATTTACCAGGATTAAGAAGCAAAAAACAGCTCATTGTGCAAAAAGCCTATTTTTGTTTAATTAGGGCCAAATCTTGCAGTCCTTATTCAAGTCTTGGTCTTGAGAAGTGACTTATGCCTCTAGTGGCTTCAGTCTTTCTCAAGCAAAAGTCTTTCAAGTGACTATGATTTCTGTCTCAGTAAATAGTAAGAACCCCAGGATGAATGTCTTATGCATGTCACAAGAGTTGCTTAGTTTCTAAATCCCTGAGATACTTCCCAGGCAATGGCCATTATTTCCCAGTCTAAATGTGAACACTCATCTGCTCCAGGCAAAATTAAGCATTACAGAAAAGGACCTGTATAGATGGTGCAGTCGTCAATCAGGTCTGATCGCTTAGTATTTGTATGTTATGTGACAACAGAGATGCTTACGTCTGGAGGGACTTCTGAGCTGGAAACCAATAGCCACGTCGGCGAGATGGTAAAGGACGATTCACTGGCATTTGGAGCAACTGAGTAGAGATAAGGTAAAGCAACACAGCATTTAATACAACTAACAACACTTCCTGTTTTCACAACCACACAGCGCTTGCCTCTCTGAACATCTCATCTAAACTGGTACCACCAGATTAAATAGATGGGCTTTGTATCAAGACCTTGAAAGAGGTCTGAAACGTGTGATAAACACCGTGCTGCTTATGTCAAACTACTTCACAGCGTGGTCATGTAACATTTCAGATGATGGAGCTGTGAAACCATATCCCTCATACCCTATGTCATGTCTATTCCCCAGCTCAGGGCACCTCACAACATTTAAAATGTAGAGATGCAAAATGTAAGGTCTTCTGCACCCGGTTCAACGAACCCATCGTGCAATTATCAACTAAAAACTCACAAGGAACAAAACTAGCGCACGGATCCCAGGGCTCAGCGTGGGCTGCCCAAGGCTCTACAGCTCTATTGAAAATCACCTCCTATTTAAAGTGGGGGAACTCCAGATCAAGTGACCATGCTGTCCAAACCGCGAGCCTTTGCTGACTGCCCTGTTCTAGATGGGACTTTCTGCTTTCCCTCTTCCCTAGGTTTGAGACAGCGTCGAATATCCTGACATCGGAGAAACATCTGTCCAATTCTCCCCCCTTCACAGATGTGCCACCTGTAAGTAAAAGGGACGTGTATGCTCATAAACAGCAAGTCCACCCAGAGCAGAGGGTGCTATCCCATGACAAACTTGTGAGGGCCAAGATGGGGGGTTGTGCCTCTGGTGCTAAAATAGAGACCTCCCAGTCTGAGAAAGCTTTCACTTCCTCCTCTGAGAGGGAAATATAAACTATGTTGTAATACTTCAGTCTTGTTAAATGGACAAAACCCAGGTGAATGGAGAACTGCAAATGGTGCTTCTGGTTTTAAGCTGAAAATCAAAGTTCGGAGCATGAGACATACAATTCAGCTGCTGAATTCCCCCCATTCGTTATTTCTTTGCCATTCTGGAAACCCATTGCCAAGCAACTTAGTTATGCTATGGGGATGGAGGATGTTGCTAAGTGTTACCTGAGGTGTGTTCAGTGCTGCGTGTGGAAGGGGCTGTTGTGGAGGTCGTTGCTGGTGCTAAAAACAGAACAAAATAAAACCCACGTGTGCTATGACTGATGGCAGCTCAAAAACCTCCAAGGAATAAAAGCAAACCACCGCTGACAAATATACACATCTCATATGCACTTCGCCTGTAATAAAGATAAGGGAGTAGAGAGACTATCTTATCATAGGAGAATAGAAAAGCTTGACTTGGTGAGTTCAGCAAGGCAAGGGCTGAGTGCTCCCTACCAAGGGTGTAGGACTAAATGCTTAATGCTAAAAAAGGCACGAATCCCAGAGCTTCTGCAGAAGTTTCCAACACCAGGGAGGCCGAAATGCTTGTTAAGCTCACAGACAATTCTGGCACATGAACAAACAGGCAGGCCACATAGAGATTGAGGTCTAATAACTTTTAAGATGGAGCTCACCAAGTTTACAAAGGGGATTATAAGAGACGGCTGTCTGAAACAGCAGGCAACTGGACTTAGTGACTCATGAGACTCGCTAAGGAGGAGAAAATTACTCTATCATTCTCATAAGCAAAGGGAAAAACTGCAGCAAAGGAGAAGGGAATGGATCATGGATAGACTACTGCCTCTTTCTGCCCACCTAGGCTAGGGTTTTAGCTGCTACCTGCCCTCACAGCATCCGCACGGGCTCAATGTAACATCATTAGCAATCGACTAGTCCCCGGGGGTGTCGGGAAGTCTCTAGGATTCCACTTTTTCCAGGTCAAAATTCTGCTTGAGATAGAACTGAAAGAAATCCAAAGTCCTACAACCTTGGTTGTGGAAATCAGTATGTTTTTATATCTGTAATTCGTTAAGACAGCGGTTACAAAGGAGCACCCTTGAGATCTGAGGAAGTGAGTCACTAGGTCACAGTTATTCAAACTTCACCCTTCATGGTGTGCACAACCAAACAAGCCCACGCAAGTGCTCACCAAAAGGTATCATGCACCACACGTGGAGAGCCACAGAGGATTCAAAACACTGCGACAGCCCTCAGCCCACGCAGAGGTCTGAATTCGCCCCTGGCTTCTCTGGAGTTGGACACGTTCTGCCTAAGTTTGAATTGGGCCCAGAGGGTTTGATGGGGATGCTGCTGGGTGAGGGGATGCACAGAGGTTCGGTGGGGAAAGACTAGTCTAGCTTTGTAGGAGCAGGCAGGGAAATCAGGCTTGGCCTAGAGAGAGAAGAACGTGACTGTCTAACCTTTAAAGCTAGGGACAGAAATTACACATAAACTGATATAAGCAATCAGAAACTGGGTCACATCTGTAACACAACAGAAGTTCAGTGCACATAAAACAATTTCAAAATCTTGCTGGGATCCTGTGACCCCAGCTGACTTCCTGCCCCTGGGGCAGGGGGCTGGACTCGATGATCTTCGAAGTCCCTTCCAGCCTGAATGTCTAAGAAATCTATGAGAATGGCCAAAACCGGTTTAAGATAAACGCGGATGGATGTAGCATCAAACTGAACTGATTTAGGTTAAATCGGTTTATTGAACTTCTGTCCCAGAATCCCTCCAGATTCAAATTAACTCTCAGCCCCCCCGGTATCCCAGCATGCTTTGCACCTCTCTCCCACAAACTCCCCCACGTTGCAGGGTGGGCGGGCTAGCCTTGGTCTGGGCTGTCTGCTCCAGCCCAACAGAGAAATGCTCTAGCACCCCTTGACTTCTGGCTGCATTTCTGGAATCAGAAGTGAATGTCTGCTCACTCGTTTATCGGTTCAATCTATGCAGCTTTGACTAACCTGCGAAGAGTGAAGTGATTCAGACTCAGGCTTTTCGACTGTCTGTACTTAGCCTAAGAGCTGATTAACATTTCCAAGGCGTGAAGCATCCTGTGTTGCCCAGTCTCCTACATTGTACAAGTGGCAGCAACAAGAATGCTAATCAGAGTTGAGCACCATGGCATTGGGTGGCCAAAACCTCCATTACTAAGCATTGCCTCTGCTGGGATAATGACAATAGTACAGGTGACTTGATCTAGGCAGTGTTCTTGCTCTATCTGCAAAACCCTAATGGTTAAAGGTGCAGAAAGTGATCCTATTTCCATTATAATCAGTGCTATTGACTGCAAAGAGGCTGACCCTGCAGGGCGCTCATGCCAGGGAGAAGAGCTGTGCTCACCTCTCTCAATCACAACGTCCACATTGGTTTTCTGATCATTAAACCACCCATGGATTTCCACACGGCAGCAGTACGTCCCTGTGTCTGCTTCCCTTGCTCTCCGGATGGTGAGGGACACGTCCCCTCTCAGCAGGTTCCCAGATAACTGGTATCTGTTGTCCTGCCGCTCTGTCACCCTCCTGCCGTCTGTCCAGAGAATTAGGTTTGAACACTGAGAATTAGGACAGGGCCCCCGGCCCCAGCACATCGTGGTCAGGTCGCTCTCTGTTCTGACACTGTAGCGGCAGGACAAAGTGACATCCTGACCCACCACGCCTTTCACTGGAGATCCTGAGACTGAGGAACCTGCAGACAAGGAGACAACTGGGGTTGAGAAAGGGCATGGTACAAAAGTTAATGAAGGTCCCAACCCAGCTACCCTTCCAAGAAGTTCCCCCACGATGTGTGTGTTTCCCCCTTCGGGCAGTGGTATGCAGCAGGATTGACTCCTGGTCCGAACGGGTGCTGTGGCTCTGATGCCGTTGTCCAAAATGCATCTCTGCCCAGCCACAGAAAGCATTGCATCCTCCAGCCAGGAAGAGGAAAGCAGAACAGCTCTTTGAGCAACACAACCCATTTTCCTACAGCAGTTCTTCTATTAGGAACTTGTATCTAAATCAGCTTGGCTGTATTTTAAAGCATGGGTCATAGATTCAAAGATTCATAGATGTTCGGGTCGGAAGGGACCTCAATAGATCGAGTCCGACCCCCTGCATAGGACGGAAAGAGGGCTGGGTCCATGAGCACTTACACTGTGAAGCAATAAAGCAACAGAGAAAATACAGAAGTCACTGTGGAAACCACCCACCATCCCTGCAACTCTTCAAAATGTGCCCGACTGCATTCCAGTTTCGATGTACCATTCTCTTTCTGTAGCTGGATTACACAGCTGACCAGCTCAGATCAATGGGTGTTACAAAACACTTTAAAGATGTCCAGAGCCATTGAATTAATCAATAAAACTAACGTCAAAGGTCTATTGTATATAATGATGTAGCTAGCATATAGCTATTTGCAGAGAGATGCAGCCTACTAATACCAGTCTGCAATTATTCCATGGCTTTATGTACTTACCCCATCTCCAGTACAGTCACTCCTTTGTGCTAAGTTTGTTAATCAAAATTATCTGAGATCAGATAACCCAGGTAGGACTCTAAGTCGCCCCTTGGATGGACGCCACTGTACCATGAATCCACCAGGCTACCCAGAAGGTGAGCTTTGCATACTTATTCTTCCCACTTACATTACAGATAAAACAGTGCTTTTAATGTAACAGTGCCTAGAAACACTCAATCAAATGAAAAAAAGTGGTACCAATTATCTACATTTTTCACTAGTCTTAACAATGTCCCAAACAATTTTTCCAGCTGATATAAGTTAGAGTTCATTTAGGTGAGAAAAGGAGCTCAAACGTTGGTGGGGGTTAGTTACCTATAGCCAACTATGTCCTCTTCCCTTGTGAACACACATTTAAACATCTTGCCTCTGGATTCAGCTGCACAAGGTTGATGTGTGAGCATTAGCTCTTATCCTAAATGAACCCAGCCACTTCTCTAATAAACCTGTTTTTGCAGGGACTTTAACATAGTGATATAAAAAGTCAGTTCTGAAAACATGCCAGATTAGTAGTTAATGCTAAAAAGGCATGCATCTCAATTTTTAACGAGCAACCCAGTCTCATAAAATCAAAGGGAGACAAAGCCTGTAGCCACATGTCTGACACACAGAGCCAGATCATACAGCACCATCCGATTTGGTATACAGAGAGTTTTGGACTGACAGGAGTAGGTTACCCATTCATTAGCTTCACCGCAGTGGCCGTCAATGTTCCCTGTGGGTAAAGCTGGTCATCTATCATAGCGCTACATTAAAAAAAAAGCAGCAGCTTTGTCATGGCAGAAATGAAAAAAT